GTGAAATGCCTCCCACAAAGCTTTGCTCCTGCCTGAAGTTGAGAAGCGGCCAAGCCAACCTCCTTTGGGAAGGTGCTCCACAGGGAGGGGGTGGCCGGAAGGAGTCCGACAGAACCGAATATCCCGGTCCAGTGTCAACGCTCTCACTTCCACTGCACACACTTGGCACAGTTCAGATCAATACACGCAGTCCGGCGCTGGTCCAGGTTCAACAGGCACAGCACCTTCCCAGTCCCAGGCCAGAGGTGGAGACAGAGTCGCTGGGCAACCGGCAGGACAAGGCCCCGTAAGAAACCAGGGCCAGCAGGAGGTCTTCGCGTAGAGCAAACTGGGCCGGGCTCTTACGCCTTGTCCAGCAGTGCTGCAGGAAAAGCAAGAGAGGGGTGGCGGTTAAGTCATTGCGATGGGTCTCTCCACTGGGGGAGGGATTAAAATCACAGGCTGGAGGGGACCAAAGGCCTTCTAGCCCAGCCGCATGGATGAGGCTATCCGCCCTAAGTATCAGGCAAATTGTGTGCTAGCAAGAGAGAGGAGCACTCCCAGAAGATGCCTGCATCAGAGGGGTCAAGCAGGTGAACCAAGCTGCATGCATGTGAGAAGACAGCCTCTTGTGCAGGGAAAAATTCCACCCTGTACTCCAAATATGGCTCTCGTGTGCAGCTTGGGCAACCCTCGTCCTTCAGAGTGACAGAGGAAGAAGATCCCCGTCATGCCGGATGAACCACAGATGGGTTGAGCAAATGGAGGGGGAAAGCCACACTCGCCCCAGAGGCCGCGGGTTCTGGAAAGGCCCCACGTGGGGCCATGGGCAAGAGGAAGCCCTTCAATCTCTGGGCACATTCCCTGTTGGAAGATCTCCTGCCTTCGGGGTGGACCTCCAAGCCCCTTTCCCCACATCATACGCACCCTTACTGTTTTCGGAGCTCTCCGAAGACTCACTGCGTGCTGCAAAAGGAGCAAAGACGGAGAATTGGTATCACAGTTTTGCAGTGGGATGTTGCATCTCACAAAGTCCTTTCTTCCCCTGGCCCCACTTCACACACACAGCTTCTCTCCTTGTCGCTTCTAATCAGGACACACGCTTCAGCCATACACCTCTGCAGCTCAATTCACCGCAAACAGCAGCCTGGGAGATTCTCTCTTTGTCCCGTGTCCCGGGGCGCATGGGAGCCCAGAACAGCCTCGGCAGGGGAATTGCCTCCCAGAATATGAGAACCAGAGGGGTCCCCCCGCGAAGCCGATTTCTGGGAGATGCAGGACGGGCCGAGGGAAGGACTCCTTCACAGAGAGCTTGGCTGAGCCATGGAATCCCCCTCCATGGGAAGTGGCAACGGCCATTGATTTGGACAGGTTTTAAGGGGGCTGGAGGAGGAGGTCTCCATGGCTGCTAGTCCTCATGGCACAGCCAGCCTTCCCACCAATCAGGAGAGGTGGACAGGCCAGATTTTTCTGGATGCTGCTGGTCCTTTTACGGAGCCGTTGCTGTATGTACAACACCTTTGTGCCCCACTTACTCTGGGGCTCCATCAGCCCGTCCTTAACATCTCCCACTGGGCAAATGCCACCTTGTCGAAATTAACTGCAACAAATCTCCCTGGTCCCACGATGCAGCCATTCCAGACCCCCACCTCTGCATACATTCCTACAACATCCTCCCATTCCACTGATCTTCCAATCAAGCGTATTCCCACTGAAGTCAGAGGAAAGCCTGGCTGCCCTCTGCCATGAGAAGCTCTGAATGAGGCCACCACGAGGGAGGTCGTCAAAAGTTTGCAAGCATCTCTGTTCAACATACAACAAAGTCGGTTTGGTGGTGAACTGAGGCATTCGTGAGCCGAGGTATCACTGTGCTAATGGCAGCAGCACCGGAAAAATGTGGGAGGGTTGAAATGGACAATGGGCGAGAGCACAGGGCTTCTGAGGGAGGCCGAGCGTGGAAGCAGCCCGAGTACCTGGAAATACACAGCCGGCAACTGCGTTTTTTCCATCTACATCATCTGTCAGCTAGTATTAATGGTCATTTCTTCAGAGAGAGAGGTGATACTCACGTGAGGGTTGCTTTTGGGAGTTGTTGGTTCGTCGTTTCTCTGCAGAGACAGAATTAGAAAATGAGAGCTGGAGGGACCCCGGGAGGAAACCTGCCTTTTCCAATGAACCCTGCCTTTTCCTTTTCGAACATAGAAAGCCCCAGCCATGTTCTTCCTAAGTCTTCTTCTGACTACTGCCAGGAGTAATTTGAGACAGGATCCACATAGAGGACCCTGGAAATCTATTTCTTCCAAACAAATACGCAGATGGCTTCCAATGTCATGCACTGGACTGCCTGGAAGTACGGAAGAGTTTCCCCCAGAATCTGGGGCCAGCCAGAGCTCATGGGGGAAAGGAAAGGGCCCCTTAAATTAATAGTAAAAAAGATATGCAGGCTGTTAAATTTCAGAAGAATCCCCAAGACCTCACTAGAGTTAAATATATTGAGGATCCTGGTGAAAATCCTGGCAGTGGAAAAGAGAGGCCAAACCCGAAAACACTTCGGAGCCTTCCAGCCCCTGGGATTTGGGTCTTCTGTTCCAGACTTCACAGGTTCACTATCAGGCAGGACCCCAGGTGAGAAAATAGGGAATCTATTCAAGGCGCACTGTGGTGGCTGCTGGTCTTTGGGGTGCCGCTGCTGTCCTGGGGGTTCCCTCTCCAATATGGCTGGACACAGGCAGGCAGTCCTCGTGCAGGGGGCAGCGTGGAAGCGACCCACGGCCTTCCTTCAGATCTTTCCCTGTTCCCACTCCTGAAGCTACTTCCAGACAGGTGCGTTTTGGGGCTGCCTCTAGCATGGAGGGGCCACGATCCACCGTTTCTTAGTGAGGGCCACCAACAGAGTGACACACGTGAACATGCAGCCCAGCAAAGGCATGAACAGTTTACTTACTGATGAAGATAAAGATGCAGAAACTGATTATAAGCACCGCCAGGACAGCTCCTATGACAGCCGCCACTATGAGCCCCACATTCCCTAAAATGGGAACAAGGGGGAAAGGGCCAGTTAGAGTTCCTGGAGCACTTTGCTGCCTCTTTTTGGTGGCAAACTGACTATCTTTTGGCCAAAACAACACCACGTTTCGGCTCTGTGGGGGCAGCAGCACAAGTGGGGGCCCGTGAAAGGCATGTATCATCCCTTCCAGACTCTACTGTCTATTCAGCCCTGTGTGACTCTCACGAAGAAAAGCATCACAGGGCCATCTGCACTGGTTCTAACTCTGGGCCTCCCGGGGCTGAAACACCCACGTTCCTGCCGTGAGCTCAACCAGAGAGGAAGCTGCTCCTTCCAAGGGCCAATCTTCCAGCTCTCCTGCCAGGAATCACACCTCCCTCCCCATAACTTCCCTTGCTTTGCACCCCAAACCACACGCGGGCCTCTTCTTTGGATTCCACCATTTCCTAGGGGAAGCTCAACTTACCAGAATCCAGACCCCAATCTGTGCCTTCTCCCCTCCCCAGCTGTCTCTCGCCCACAGGCCCCTCCCAGGCCAAGGCCAGAGGCTGCGACAGGCCGGCATGGTCTACACGGCACCGGTAGCGGCCCCGCTCCTCGGGCTCTACGTCAGTGTAGAGCGAGATGTAGTAAGTCCCATCCGGATTGGGGGCCACACGACTACGGAAGGTCTCGTGTTCCCAGCGCTGCCCATCTTTTGTCCAGGTGGCTTCGATCTCCTTGGGGTAGAAACCGTGGGCCTGGCAGACAAGGGTTTCCACGTCCTCTGTGGATGACTTTTGGCGAGTCACCTTCACTTCGGGGGGCTCTGGAAAATGGGCAAACTGGGTGTTATCACCACTAGCAGAATCTCTCCAGCGATGGGCAGGATGGGGCGTATCTGAATAGCAGGTCAGGGTTCCATGGGGCCTTCCAGTCCTTCTCAATGGTCTCCCGAGAGGGGCTGCCCCACACCTTCAGCATGCCCTGAAAACAAAACTTCTAAAGAAAGGAGTTCCCAGGCACCCAAATATTTTCTGTTTTTAAACGTTTTGAACATGCTCAAACGGGGACTTGAGGAGGAATCCCTGCCTGGAGCCATTCTGCTTTGGGCTTCTGGGAGGATCCAGGGCCGAATTCGCCCCGCCACCCCCTCGATTGAATGGCAGGAGCAGTGCGCTGGCTCCCCCAGAGGGAGAGGCTGGAACTGCAGCTCTTGGTGCTTTGATGTGCTTTGTGGTTTCATGCTGCTTAAAAGTCCTTTTAGCATGGCTGCTCTACCTTGCTTGGGCCAGAAGTCCCCGGAGGAGAAGCGATCTAAGGATTGCCAACGAGCCAGTCCAGCATTTCAGAGCCAGAAAAATAGCTGTTCTCAGCTATTTCTGTATGTTTTATAGAGTTAGTTTTTCCAAAGCATTCTTTGTTTAGCAAATTTTCCAGTTTTCCCTTCTGAAAGGTGAAGAAATTCTGCACAGACTCAGATACACTCAGCAGGAGTGTTAAACTTTTTAACAAACTGGCAAGGATTACACACTTGCAGAAACTTCCTCTCTCCCTTTGAGGAAGGGACCAGGAAAGGGCCCAATCCCCATGCGCACTGCATAGTCTTGGGGAAGGGGGATGTTTTCGTTGAGAAATCAGGCAGGCAAAATTTGATGGGTTCAGGGAGGGGCTCCCCACACACACCCAGGCCCTGCCCCATGCCAGACCTCTTGCAAAGGCCCCACCGGCCGGGGGGTGGGGGGTGGATGGAGGGGCCCTGGAGGGAAGGAGCGGTCTCTGCACTTCTGGACACGTGGGTGAGGGGGAGCCCCACAAGCAAGGAGGCACTAAGAGGGGGGAACTCCCAGCCCTCCCAGCTTTCGTGCTCTCCTTTTCAGCTTCTGGGCCAGATGGAGAGGGAAAAATCTGATGGGAGGCATTCAAAACTGGAGCAACCCCCCCGCCTCAAGTGCAGGCTGAAGTGGTACGCTCCTGCCATCTTCCTTCTCTTCTGCCCAGTGATGAACCAGGGAAGGAGACGGGACGGGATGGGAGGGGATCTGTCCCCAAGACACCCGTATTCCCCACGCACACCTCTCCTCAGCAGCAGGAACTCCTTCCCGTAGCCCAGGTATCTCTGCAGCCGCTCAATGCATTCCTCCTCCAGGTAGGCCTTGATTTTCCAAGCAAAGTTGGGTTTGGCCTCCCAGTTCCACTTGGTTAGCTGGGCTCTGACATCGACCGCCGTCCAGGTGAGGGTCTCCTTGTCAAAGCTGAGGAAGTCCCTCCCGTCATAGCCATCCTGGAAAGCCCCTCCTTTGCTCCCATCCCCACTCAGCTCACAGCCGTACATCCACTGCAGGGTGTGGAGCCCTGGAAGAGGAGGCGAGTCAGGCGGGGAGTCCGGCGGGCCGCAGCTGAAGCTCTGGGAACAGGCGGGATGTAAAAATTATTATACTTGTTTACCCCACAGGGGAGGTGGAGACTGTGCCTGGGTGAGGATGTGAGACCCCACATTGGAAATTGGGCTGCACCCGCCCCACATGCCTCCTGCTGCCCTCCGAGCAATTTGCTGCGATTGATCGGAATATCCTGAGGCACCCAAAGGGCCTTTCCTGGTTTCCTTCCCCCTCCTTGACCCAGATGGCCCTTCCTCCTCCTCCTCCTCCAAGCCCCCACGGACTCTGCCCCCGTGACTTTCATCATGCCCCCACAGCCACCTGTCACGCCCCACAAGGGGGATCAGGCAGACATTTCTGCCTCAGGGGGGCAGGACTGGTGGCTGGGAAATTGCTCTGGCCTTCACACCCCCAGGAAGAGGAAGCCATCCTGGCGTTGGGGGAGAGCCGTGTGTCTCTTTGGGGGCAGTGATTGGGGAACAGGGTTGGTGGCTGCCCTCCTCTTCCCTTTTGGGGCTCCTGCAGGCCCAGCGTGGGAAAAGCAAGCCCACGAGGCCTTCCCCCACTTTCAAATGGAGGAGGGGCTCTCACTCAGCACCCCCAAGGCGAGAGCACCTGCCCTTTCCGCTCCTGGGTGTAGGACAGAGGTGCAGGACCTGTGTTCTGCATGGCAGGCCACATTCTTTGCACGGGTCCCTGGCCAAGAGGCGGAGCGTGTTTCTCTTGTGCCTGGGGCAGTGCCTTCTGTTGGGGCATGCAGGTAGGGCTAGGAAGGGCTTGTCTCCCTCTCCCCGCACCCTCGGGATATACGGGGGGGGGGGGGGGGAGCCACAGGTGCATGTGTGTCCTCCTCTGCACATGTGTGCGTGTGTGCATTCGTAGCCATACTCATAAATATAAAGCTCAGTCGTAGCTTTATACAGCATCAGGACATGCATGTTTATGCAAACCCCAGTGCCATTCATGTGCAATTTGTAAATTAAGTTTAGGTATTTGTTTTTTAGTAATGGAAAATGAAATCAACTGCATGCTTATTTAAAAACAAAATATTAAGTCCTGCTCTGTTAAATGGGGCTTTGTTGTTGTTGTTAGTTGCAAAGTCATGTCTGACCCATCGCGACCCCATGGTACAACACCCCCCTAGGCCTTCCTGTCCTCCACCATCCCCCGGAATCCACCCAAGCTCACACCCACTGCCCCAGTGACTCTGTCCAGCCACCCCATCCTCTGCGGTCCCCTCCTTCTTTTGCCCTCAATTGTTCCCAGCATTAGGCTCTTCTCCAGGGAGTCCCTCCTTCTCATTAGGTGGCCGAAGTATTTGAGCTTCATCTTCAGGATCTGGCCTTCTAAAGAGTAGTCCGGGTTGGTCTCCTCTCGGACTGACCGGCTTGATCTCCCCTTCCTCCCAGTTTCCCCTCCCCTCCCCCAGCCCCTGGAAATGACAAACATGGGAGGGCGATCTGCCCCCCCCCCCCCGTGCACCACTCACCCCCGCTCTGGTTGTGGTACTTCCCCAGTCACCATGTTCCCTCTGAATGCAGCTCATTGCCCTTTGTGGTCTGAGCGTACAGCTCCCAGTACTGGGGATCGAACTGGTCCACCCTCCCCATCCAGGGGACTCTGGGCTGATACTTCCTGGTGCTGCTGTCGTACTGAGCGAAGAGCTGGTCGTCCATGTACCCCACAGCGATGAACTGGGGCAGCCCCTGGCCGGGCTCCGACACCCCCAGGTAGAAAAAGCCCAGCGAGTGGGAGGAGGCGGCTGCAGAGGGCAAGGGGGGAGGCAGAGTTAGGGGGCTGCAGCTGAGGACACCCCTGAACACGGCAGCCCACTGGGGATGCGGCCACCCTAGAGGAGTCCTGTGGGGAGCCCCAGAAGCGAGCTGCAGAACAGTTCGCGCAACCGTGGCGCACTGAGCCGGCCGCAGTGTCTTGTCCAGACCACGTGTGCCTGGCAAACGGCCCGATTCCCTCGCGGGCCTGCAGTTCACTAGCCACGTCACGTGTCCTTGGCCAGCGAGGTCTCTGGGGGGCCACCACATACCAGGCTGTGGGGTGCAGCTGGGCTACTGCCCCTCCCCCAAGCAGGCCAGGCCACCCAGAGGACAAGAGGAGCCGCACTAGCAGAAGTGGCTGGGCAAAGAGGGCCGGTCCGCGCAGCGGGGGCTGCTTCCCCTGGGTGCGATCGTGTGAACCAGCCCATGTGGGTCAGGGGGCTGACCCCTTTCACAAACCGCAGGGTGGCCACTGAGCCACGCTGCCTCAGGGCCCGGCTGCCTGCCAGCCCAGTTTGCCTCCTCCGCCTCCCCAGAGGCCGCTCGGTGTGATGCCCAAACCCAGCAGGAAGGGTGCTTCTCAAGCCACCCCACACCCCACAGGCCAGTGTGGGGTGCCAGTGGGGCTTGCCCAGCCTAGAAGACGCTCCAGGCAGAGGGAGGGGAGGCAGTGGGGTGTCTCCTGCTACCTCTTTGCTTGCAAGGAACCCAAGGGGCGTCCATTGCCTTCTTGCTCCTCGCCATTTTATCCCCACAACAACCCTGTAAGGTAGGACAAATCAACAGTCCCTGATTGGTGGGAAAGTAGTCATAGTTGAGTGAAGACTGTTCAAATTGCCTGAGTCCCGGTGCTATAACCACTAGACCACACCACTAGCCCCCCTTCTGGTGTACGTATACTGTAGTTGCATCTGTACTCAAATGCACACTGTTTGTGGTGAGCTTGTCTGAAAACTACTGCCATGATTTATGCCTCAAGTACACATGGGGAGAGGGAGTTTAAACCCCAGTGTATTCATCCATGTTTCGAGCAGTATTTTGTACAGAAGATGAGCAGCAAAAAAATGAACATTTCCAAATCACGGTGGCCAGTCAGGTGAAGTTTCCCATTGGCACCAGGAATTCCTCAGTACTTCCTCCTCCCTGCTGCCAAAAAGCAGGAGGGCCACTGGAAAAGGCACCGAGCAGACAGAGGGCCAGGAGCTTCTCCTTCCATTTCCCGGAGAATCAGCCCAAGTGCCTCAGAGTGGATCAGCCACGGGGAGAACCCTCTCGGCCGCTCTCGGGAGGCCCCTTCATAGTGCAGGTGGCCGGGCAGGAGTTTGCTCATGGGGTGGCCTGGGCCGCATCCAAAGCAGAGCATATTCGCAGCATTTATTCTCGATTAATTGCTGCACAGCTGCACTGGCATCAGGCACCAGGCGCTTCCCCTGCGGGGTCAGGCAGGGACTGAAGCCAGGAGGGTCTTTGCCCGGCTCAGTGGCTGCTTTCCTGGAGGAAGCGCGTCTGGCCCGGTGCCCACGCCACGTCCAGGAGCTGCAGCTGGAGCCAAACGCAGCAGCCGGGCGGCTCTCTGGTCCATGTGAGCTGAACTGCATGACTTCAGTCTGGTATCGGCAGCGCTGGGCCAGCTGGTGTCTGGCTCAGTTTCGGTGCCTAGGAAGCTCTCAGTGTCCCCTTGAGTCTGCCCACAACGCAGGACCGTCTTGGAGGCCTTGATCCTCCTCTGACCACCAACGAGGTTAGGCTGCTGTGGACGGGCGACGGGGCCTTCACCAGGGCAGCCCCCAGTTACAGACCCTCACTGTGGAGGTTAAATTGCAACGTTCAATGCATCGTGAAGAACATTTTGTTAGGCTTGCCATTGATAGGGGTTTTAAAAAAATAGCTTTACTCCTTTCTTGATGTTATAAAAGTTGTTCTTGCTGTTTTCAGTTTAATTCTTTTGATATGAAGTTATTTTAAGCTCTATGTTGTCTTAAGATCCCTTTTGGACAGAATCTCAAAAGCTTAAATATCACAGAAGATTAATAACCTAAGAAGGGATACAGCAAGAATAGCAGAATTTTACTGTAGTCACTTTTTATTATTTTATTATTATTACTTAAATCATTGTACCTGTTATGATTTACTCTAAACTGCCCAAAGGGCTCTGGCTACTGAGAAGTATGAAGATGAAAATAATAATTGTTTTGATGAATGAAATTCTCTAATTTTGCCGCTCCAGCTCTCATGACTAGATGGGCTAAGAAACCAGCACCCGGGCCGCCCCTCGCCCGCGTCCCCTCCCGGGCAGCGGCAGGCGCAGAAAAAGCCGCACACGCGGAGACTCACCGCGAGCCCCGCAGGGCAGGAGCAGCGCGGGGACCCCCAGCAGGAGGACGGCCGCCGCCCAGAGCCGGGGAAGCGCCATCCGCTCCTCGACGCGCCTCCTGAAGACTCTCCTTGCCGCGCGTCTTCCAAGCGTCCCAAAGTCGCGAAAGCGGAGCAGGAGAACGTGGTGCCTGGAGAATCCGGAATAAGAACCGCGATTGTGCAAGAGGGAAATAGGTACAGAACCCGCAGGCCAGGCAGCGGCAGAGTCCCGACTAGAAATCGAGCTTGCGCTTGGATTTCCGCGAAGAGACGCCCCCTCCGACGCGGTGGGGGACGGAAATCCTACGAAGGGGAAAGCAGGGGAGGCTGATCTGCTCCTGGCCAGAGCCAGAAAAATCTCAGCACAAGCCAGATCCTTTGACGTCTGGCTTTGTCGCTGCCCCTCTCACAGCCTGCTTGTTAAAAACGAGGCCAAGGCAATAGAAACATTTTAATGCATGGGGGCTCCGGATATGTCGCAACGAGGCAACTTTGAACAGAAAGTTCCTGGAAAGTCCGTGGGAAGTCGCCCACAATCCTCCCCCGTGCAGCTGCCCCCTCGCCCCCCCCCCGCTCCATAAAGATACGAACGCTTCCGATTTAGGAGCGTGGGGCTGAAAACTGCAGGGACGAATTGTATTTTATTATGTTGTGAGCCTCCCCGAGGCTACGGCAAGGGGCGGCATAGAAATGTTTTAATTAATAAATAAATAAATAAATAAATAAAAATTCAAAAGAGACAAGTGCCAAGTTGCGCATCTAGGAAAAAGAAATCAACGGTTGGAATGGGAGTAGAGATGAAAGGGACCATGAACCCCCCCCCCCCCGACAACTGGAGAGTCTCCCGCCCGCCCCCCTCTGAGCAGAATGTGGACCCGCCCGTCTCCCTCCCTGGCGGAGGACGGCTGCGCTCTGCGCTTGATCCAGCGACAGGGCACGGAGGGGACCGAGCCTCTGGCCTGCGGGGTGGGCGCTGTGCTGGGATTTGGCTGGATGCTGGGAGGCCTGCAGGACTCGCTTCTGCACCCCTCTGGAGGGAGGTCGCTCTGCCCCTTCTGCCAACGCAGGGAGCTTCTCTGGACTCGCCCCAACCTTTCCTCCTGGAAGCAAACATTTTCCGTGTATGACCCTAGCATTCCACAGGCTGCTCCCCCTTTTCAAGGTGTTGTGATTTATTTATTTATTTATTTATTTATTAGATTTAGAGCCTACTTCTTTCTTTCAAAGAACTCAAAGTGGCTTACATCCATCTCTTCCTGCTCTCCATCTTATCCCCTCAACAACCACCCTGCGAGGTATGTTGGGCAGAGAGACCGGGAGGGTGTCAGAGGGTTTGTTCCACAAAAAAACACAATGACTTAATTAATCTCCTGTGCTGCTCGCCAAGTCTGCTCTGTTCGCAGACAGCAAAGCTGGCTAACCGTTTCCCCGTTTTCCTGAAGATTACACTGGTCTACAAATTTTGGGAAATTATCAGCTCCAAGATAAAATGTGCTAATTCTTACATGTTTTGATCGGATGAATTAAAAAGCAGGTGACAAAGGTGCTGGTTGGCTAAAGGGTTCAAGATATTCCACAATGCAGATTTATACACAGGCGAGTATATTTGCCTACAAGGAGGGAGGTGCCTGATGGTCATGCTGCCTTGTAACTTCTCAACAAAGTACGGTAGAACAAGGAACATGGTACCCCATGGAAGTGGATGAAATTATCTTCACATTGAGACTAAAGATTACTACCTAACTGTACTTTATTGTTAATTGCAAGGTACATTCCTCTTGGTCAGATCTCGGCATCATGCAGTTACATCTGGTGCCTCTCGAAAGCGTCATTGCCCAACATTTCCAAGGATCAGTTGCGTGATGTTTTCCCTCGGAAGCCAAGATGCCTCCAGAGTGTTAACTACCCAGAGAACTTCTGCAACATTTGTGGAGAGGTCCCATTTGCATCTCAAAAGTGCAGTATGACCGCAGTGGTCAAAAAGACAGACCACCTAAATTTTGTTTGCAAACTAGGGGATCAGGGGGAGAGTCGGGCCCCTCATTAGGGTTGCATGACATGCGCAACTGATCTGCATCACTGGCTAAGCCAGAAGAAAAGGTCCATGCCTTTTGCAGTCCCAAGGGTGTTTTTGTTGCAGTTTTGACCTAAAGCTGTATCCTGGAAACACCAACTTCCTTTATTAGTGACCCACTTCTGGTAAATTTAGCTACTTGCATTTCCGAGGCTTTCTCCTTGTTGTTGTTGTTGTTAGTCGCGAAGTCATGTCCGACCCATCGCAACCCCATGGACAGCATTCCTTCCTTGTTAATCAACATCTGGATCTACCAGCTTGTTCTCAGCCTTTCTTTGCACATCCCCACCTGCCTTGGCACTTTGGACACCCCCCCCCGCCATGGCCTTGAGTCTCGCAAGGGCGTTTGTGGGCACTGCACCGCTCCTGGTGCCCTGGCAGCATGGAGACGTTACAAGACCGTTAGAGACCAGATGGCTCAGCTTGTTGCTGCTGTAAGCCGCCTGCAGTCTCACTTAACCCAAATGCAGATCCCATCATCCTCCCCCCCCCCCCGCTCCAGAGCAACCCCAGCGACTGTCCCAGGGGGCTGGCTGCTCTTCCGATGGAGCGCAGCCT